GAGGGTTGATGTGACTGAGGGTTTGTATGACTGAGGGTTGATGTGACCGAGGGTTGATGTGACTGAGGGTTGATGTGACTGAGGGTTTGTATGACAGGGTTGATGTGACTGAGGTTGGGTATGATTGTGGGTTGGTACGATTAGGAGGTGGAGTATGACTGTGGGTTGGTATGATTAGGAGGTGGGGTATGACTGTGGGTTGGTACGATTAAGAGGTGGGATATGACTGTGGGTTGGTAAGATTAGGAGGTGGGGTATGACTGTGGGTTGGTATGATTAGGAGGTGGGGTATGACTGTGGGTTGGTATGATTAGGAGGTGGGGTATGACTGTGGGTTAGCATGATTAGGAGGTGGGGTATGACTGTGGGTTGGTATGATTAGGAGGTAGGGTATGACTGGGTTGGTATGATGGAGGTGGGGAATGACTGTGGGTTGGTACGATTAGGAGGTGGGGTATGACTGTGGGTTGGTACGATTAGGAGGTGGGGTATGACTGTGGGTTGGTACGATTAGGAGGTGGGGTATGACTGTGGGTTGGTACGATTAGGAGGTGGGGTATGACTGTGGGTTGGTACGATTAGGAGGTGAGGTATGACCGTGGGTTGGTACGATTAGGAGGTGGGGTATGACTGTGGGTTGGTATGAGTAGGATGTTGGGTATGACTGTGGGTTGGTATGATTAGGAGGTGGGGTATGACTGTGGGTTGGCATGATTAGGATGTTGGGTATGACTGTGGGTTGGTATGATTAGGATGTTGGGTATGACTGTGGGTTGGTATGATTAGGATGTTGGGTATGACTGTGGGTTGGTATGATTAGGATGTTGGGTATGACTGTGGGTTGGTATGATTAGGATGTTGGGTATGACTGTGGGTTGGTATGATTAGGAGGTGGGGTATGACTGTGGGTTGGTATGATTAGGAGGTGGGGTATGACTGTGGGTTGGTATGATTAGGATGTTGGGTATGACTGTGGGTTGGTATGATTAGGAGGTGGGGTATGACTGTGGGTTGGTATGATTAGGATGTTGGGTATGACTGTGGGTTGGTATGATTAGGAGGTGGGGTATGACTGTGGGTTGGTATGATTAGGAGGTGATGTATGACTGTGGGTTGGTATGATTAGGATGTTGGGTATGACTGTGGGTTGATGTATGATGACTAGGGTGTTGGGTATGACTGAGGGTTGGTATGACTGGGTTGGGTATGATTGATGTTGGGTATGACTGTGGGTTGGTATGATTAGGGTTGATGAGGGGATGTGTATGACTGAGGGTTGATGTGTGGGTTGGTATGACTGAGGGTTGGTATGACTGAGGATTGGTATGATTAGGAGGTGGGGTATGACTGTGGGTTGGTATGACTGAGGGTTTAGGAGGTGAGCTATGACTGTGGGTTGGTATGATTAGTATGACAGGGGGGTATGACTGTGGGTTGGTATGATTAGGAGGTGAGGTATGACTGTGGGTTGGTATGATAGGAGGTGGGGTTGAGGATGTGGGGTATGACTGTGGGTTGGTAGGATTAGGAGGTGGGGTATGACTGTGGGTTGGTATGATTAGGAGGATGGGGTATGACTGTGGGTTGTATGTAGGATGGGTTGAGGATGATTTGGGTATGACTGTGGGTTGGTATGATTAGGAGATGTTGGGTATGACTGTGGGTTGGTATGATTAGGAGGTGGGGTATGACTGTGGGTTGGTATGATTAGGATGTTGGGTATGACTGTGGGTTGGTATGATTAGGATGTTGGGTATGACTGTGGGTTGGTATGATTAGGAGGTGGGGTATGACTGTGGGTTGGTATGATTAGGAGGTGGGGTATGACTGTGGGTTGGTATGATTAGGATGTTGGGTATGACTGTGGGTTGGTATGATTAGGATGTTGGGTATGACTGTGGGTTGGTATGATTAGGAGGTGGGGTATGACTGTGGGTTGGTATGATTAGGAGGTGGGGTATGACTGTGGGTTGGTATGATTAGGAGGTGGGGTATGACTGTGGGTTGGTATGATTAGGAGGTGGGGTATGACTGTGGGTTGGTATGATTAGGAGGTGGGGTATGAATGTGGGTTGGTATGATTAAGATGTTGGGTATGACTGTGGGTTGGTATGATTAGGAGGTGGGGTATGACTGTGGGTTGGTATGATTAGGAGGTGGGGTATGACTGTGGGTTGGTATGATTAGGATGTGGGTATGACTGTGGGTTGGTATGATTAGGATGTTGGGTATGACTGTGGGTTTGTATGATTAGGATGTTGGGTATGACTGTGGGTTGGTGATTAGGATGTTGGGTGTGGGTTGGTATGATTAGGAGGTGGGGTATGACTGTGGGTTGGTATGATTAGGATGTTGGGTATGACTGTGGGTTGGTATGATTAGGAGGTGGGATATGACTGTGGGTTGGTATGATTAAGATGTTGGGTATGACTGTGGGTTGGTATGATTAGGATGTTGGGTATGACTGTGGGTTGGTATGATTAGGATGTTGGGTATGACTGTGGGTTGGTATGATTGAGAGGTGGGACCACAGAGGATGACTAAGGACTGACACTAGTGATGATTGATATGAAGAATTATTATTATAAAAGTTGATATTGCTTTTTGTGGTATATCAGAATTTGTGTTGGCAGTGTTCAGTTTAATTGTGATAAATTTTCAGACTAAGCAGTGTTAAATCTTGGGCAAAGTAGACCTAACATTTTATAATTATATACCGTCAGTCCAGTGAACATGCATGCTTGAAGTTCCTTCGTTGTTGTACAGCGAGCTAGCGTTTGATGTCTTGTCGCTATGATTCTGTTGTCAGTGTTTATGTTACAAAATACCAATCCCAGGTAGTGACACGTGATTGCGACATTCCGCTGACAGATCAGTTCACGCGCCATGTAAGCTACATCATGAGTGAAAATGTGACATAGCTACCAAATATTTCATGAGCCATATTTTGTGTGTGTGTAGATAATATATAATTAGCTTTTTTTAAAAATCCTTATTTACAAATTTCAGTTTTAAGAGTTAAATTGGGACATTTGGTAATAAAAAAAAATTGTTTTAAGATTTCACATCCTGTTAATTACTATACATAATTGCGCCCTACGTGTAGACGTCGCTATTTAGTGTTACATACCTGTCCATACATTAGAATACAAATTTATCAGTAGCGACATGCTGATAACACACATTAAATACTGCAAGTTATCGGAGAGATCACACATCTTTATAGGACAACTCCCGCTCTAGCAAAATACCTTCCCGAGTACGAATTTATCACACAATTGAAACTTGCTATGCAATGTTGCACCAAAATTATACATACGGAAGAACATAGTTACTATTGTGCAAGTCTCCAGGTAGATTGTCCTATTTTTAATTGCCTGTCGGTTCGTGGAGACATGTTTCGTCGGGTACAAACCGAATGCACTTTGCAGCGATGCACTTGAGATTCTTGTTATGCACACCGTGCTGTATGAGGGAGTACTCTACGGATACAAGCACCAAGGCCGATCAGCTCATTCATCCCATCATGTCTGAATGTTCTGTGGGAGATCGCCAGCCTGTAAATCACGATATCCTAAACGTCGGGACACAGATCCCTATGGCGGGAAAACGTCCTATGAAACAGTTTGACGTATTTCGTAAAAAAAATCTATTCTGTAAATTATTGTCATTATTTTATATACGTCATAGTGGCTCTCCATCGAGAGAGTTCCTGTGGTCACCATAATAGAATAAAAATCGGTCACGATGCATATACATCTAGTTATCCTTAATTTTATAAAAAGGCATGTCGGCTGTGAAGATCTATCAAACAACAAAAAGGCCTTGAGAGTCAACATATTTATATATACGGATTTATTCTTTCTGATGTGTCTCATGGACTTTCTGTCGTTCTGTATATACATCAATATCAATGCGTATTGATAAATGAAATATTTCAAATAAAATACTCATAAACACTATGTTACAGCTTCATCATCCAGTCATATAGATATGTATTATTCATGCGAGTCAAAGACTTTTCGTTGACTTTTCCCTTTAGTATGTATCAGCTTTTAGATCTATATCATAAAAAAAAACCCCAAAAAAACCAATCCTTTCATTTCATTCATATTTGGCTTCCACGTAGCTCCATCATTCTATCGGATACATTTGTTAAATATAGATTTCTGGTCATTCTGATATTTTTTCATCACTTCTCGGCGTTAGAAATCGCCGGCTATTAAGGTTTTCTCATGTCTCTGGACAAGCACCATTCCTCCCCCCCACCCCCCCCCCCCCCCCCCCGCCCCAGTTAACAATATTTGTATAAAATACGCCATATTGTGTTCGTATTTATATAGAACTTGTTATCATGGGGTAAAAGGGATTTTAATAAATGTAATCAAACTTAACACCAATGTATAGCACAAAAAATTTAATCATTTGACAAAGTTGAATCAAATTCAGAAAAATGTTAATTTTAACAGACCTTGACATATCACTAAAAATAACTAGTTTTAAATCAAAACAATTTCAGTACAAAAATGTTATGGGAAATAAAAACCGTCCATGGTTTACATTTTCTAAAAGGTAGCTGTATACTACTCCTTTATCGTTATGAGTCTACCTCACCGCAAACAGGTGTCCGTATATATCTAAATATACATAGGTGACCACGTACAGCCACATTTAAATGCCTTTGTTTCCCAATCGAATCGGACTTCGATCAACTTCTGAATAATTCTAAAGAAAACAATGCTAGTTTTACATAATTGATGTCGTCTAGTCTAAATTTGATCCTCAAAGAATGTGAAATTATGAATTTTCCCGTGCGACATGTGAGTATACTGCCTCTCCGGAACTCTCCTCACAAAATAAACATCCATCTGCCGCAGTGCGCGTTGTCGCATTGCAGGTGTAACCGAACCAATGAGCGTTACCGTTACAAACGTTTCCGTGGTAATTTAGGGCGAGATACGAGCCATTTCCGCGATGTTGATGGAAGCTGAACTGAAAATAGTCCATTCTTAATTCTACGATTTCTAGTTTAAACGTACTTTTTCTGCTCTGGAATTATACGTTATTTGTGAATATACTTGGTTTATATAAGAACGAAGCACGCCATTTGGATTTATCTACAAATAGAACACAGCGGACTAATCTTACTGACAGGACTACCGGTGTAAACTAAACACGGGGAATATAGAGCATCTGAACACAGCCGACAGCTTAGTTTAAAATCCACAATGGTAAGTGTGTTTTTGTGAAACATCAAATCAAAAATTCATGTTTAGATTGAAGACAACATTACTTTAATCCATGTTATATGAGTATTTTCATTTTGTGGTGTTATTATCGATATTAATCTAGCTGTCAACCGTAACATCACTGGTTGTACAGAGTTAAATAGATTTTGAAGTGACAGTTATTGGCGCGGCATTTTTCATTCGCTTTTATGTGAGCGATTAAGATCCGTGTTGTAGAAATTTGGTTAAAGATGCTTTCAATAGTTATTTTGGACCTTTTCAATATAATTAATGCTCGTTTTAGATTAAACTCGCCTTGTGATAATTCAAACAAGGAAAGGAACAACAGTTTTTGCATTTGTTGTAGTGTTCGTTTGACCAGAAAATGTTTTTAAAGTAAACTTTACAAACATCTTTATTTAAAGGATGAAAGATAACGAGGCTTGGAAAGCAATATTAATATACTTTTTTTCATACATTTACATCCATCATTAAATAGATCCTATCTTTTTTTTCTGGTAGACATGTAAATGACGCATTGACAGGTTAATTGCAGCTCCGTTGTATCTCGATGTGTCGCTAGTCGCATGGGTGAAAACGAGTTTCTTGCTTTAGAAAGTATGCAAGCTTTATTCGCCAATTTTCTTTCATCAGTAATTGAATATAGGAATATGGAGAGTTGAAATGACGTAAAATTGACAGTTGTTTTGACATGTGTCGAGTTCGTTATACATTATACGGCTATATTCGTGATTATGAAAAAAAAATTAAGTTTAAAAAAAATACATGATTTGGTGCGACTTTCTGTGTAAGGTCAGGAAGTTCCCCTCCCTCCTAACTGCACTGTGCTTTATCATTGTCATACATGACAAATATGTGTAACATTTTGTTAGGTTGCAGTAGTATTCTGTAGCTTTTGAGCCTCTTGTTTTTGACAAGTTTGGAAACTCTTTTCGAAAATCTCTTGTTTTTATTCATTCTATGACTTGGTTTGCTCCATTTGAAAATGAAAAATTTGTTTACTTTATTTTGTTATCTGCACTTTTCTTGCACTTTTGGTTACTGTATAAAAAATGATCAAAACAGGTTTGTTGTACACTTTTTAAGATGTTGAAAATATTTCAAAAATGAAAACTAGATCAGATGTATATTATCCAGTTTCTGTAGAAATTTGTGCAAGTAAAAAAAAAGTAGATGTAGAATCTATGAAACTATAAATATATAAATAAAACTTTGTTGTCGGCAAGTTTTGAAACGGGTTTGGTTGGCTTTAAAAAGTAGTTGGTTAAATATCATAATTGCCTGTAGTATCATTTGAAACATTTCTGAAAATAATACTATGGTTGGAGAACTGCTTTAAGCAAGAACACTGCTGTTCATAAATAGTTGATCATGAAGTTGTTTCCCTTGTATTTTAGAAATAACTTGCTATTAAGTTGCTTAATTGCTATCGCATCCATGACAAATTTTTCCACTGGAAAGGAACGCCAATTTTTTTTGAAAGTCACTTTCATGGTAAAACATTGTATTGTCACAAATACAATAGAATTGTATCCTTTTCCTGCACTTGCATTTGACACTAGAATAGCATGTCTGAACAATATTAGGTTAGAGTAGAAAACTTGGAAGTCACTTTGAAGCAAAAGGAGTACTCTGTAACTCGAACAAGAATTTAGAATTTAAAAAAAAAGAAAACAGGAATGAAATCGGTGATTACATACACTGTACACTGGTCATGAATTTGGTACAATTTGTAGCAGACATTGTAGTCGCACTTTCCCAAGTAGGTGTTTTCAAGTATGAATTTAGCAATTGATGAAAAAAGTTCTATTTCACTTCAGAACCATTTCTGTCGTCATTCTTTCTAGTGATTCTTGTAGAATTTTAGAGATATGTTATATCACAACAACAAGGAGTTTGATGGATATTTTCAACTTGTGACTTTTGAAAGGTACATCATAAATTTCATAATTTGGTTATAATTTGTGTGCGCAGTTGCTACCCTTTTTCATGTTGTGTTAATGTATAGCTTTAAACATGCAATATCAAGTTAACATTTTATTATTATAATCTTAAGTAATGAACACAAGTTGACTACAAGTGAACTAGTTTTTACTCGGAACATCTTTCTCAAAATTTTATTGTTTTTATTTTTTCAGGCAGATCAACTAACAGAAGAACAAATAGCAGGTATGTCGGAGCGCAACTGGAAGAATCGAAGAAAATCTTAGTTTTTGCTATTTCGGGAAGATCGCTTTCTACACTGCAAACCCAGAGGTCTATTCATGGATTGTAATGTAACAAACAAAATGAAAAGTTGAATATTGTCCCAGATTTTGTAAGACTTCTCAACTTCTATGCTGAAGTGCCAAGCAAGCGATTATAAGGGCATAGCCAATGTGCAATAGTGTATTGTGACCATCACAGAATCAGTATTTATGAGGAGTTCTAATTGTAGATATTGGTAGCGATAGGATAGCAATATGCAGCTATGAATTTGAAAATTATAGAGTTACCATTATTTTAATTTCTAGAGATTGAAAGATGCAAAAATGTCAATTAAGTTTAGTTTAAGAAATGTCATGTACGAGATCTTGTACAAATAACTTCAAATGTTTGGAAAATGACCTCAAATCTTGTGAAATGCCCTCTTTACACCAACAATTTTATAACTGATGCAAGTCGTATCAATTGTGCCAGTCTGGTTCAAATATTGGAACACTTTACAGGAAAATTACACCAATTACAAGCATTTCATTTACATTGTCATGTTGTAGCAATTAAGTTTTCATGGTATTTTGCGTGTCAATCCAGAAAAAAGGGAAAATTATGCCATTATAGAAGTGTTCTGCCCTTGGTTACTGAAATGGAGAGAAATGATGATGCTATTATAACTGCACTAAGATAGTCACTTCATGATTTTCATAACAGAAAAGTTGTATTGAAGGCAAAGTTTAAGAAATGGTCAAGTTAGTTCCCTTGGTTTATCATGAATTCTAACTTCTGCTGATTTTCATCCTCTTTTTTTCATGATCAGCCAAGGGGAGTGTTTGCCACTTCTTGAATTTTGCTTTTGATGCAGCCACATGTTGGAATGTGAATCATACATTTGACCTGTAGTGACGATGTCTTTTACTTAACGAAATTGTAGCCAATGCATTTTTGTGGTTTATGTATCGGTGATTCCCTGTATACTGCAAAGTGACTATGGATATTTGTTAGTCTGAAATGCCAAAACATTCCTTGGTCTGAAATAAAGGAGTAGAATACTTCAGCCCTCTGGGTTCTTGGAAGTAATATGAGCGAGAAATTTGAATTTCAAGTACATTGTTTAGTTTTCCATCTTATTTTTGCTTTGGAGATAAAGCAATTTATTTCTTGCCATAATTTGCAGCATTTCAATGAATGTTATATCGGTACTCCCCAACTAATGATGTAAACAAATGCTGCATGGGTACAGAACTGGTCAATACAACTTTTGAGAAGCTTTTTATAGACGAATCACACGAACTTGAAGATGTGTTTTTTTTTTATCGGATGTTTCTTTCACTCTCATTAGTTATTTTCTTAAAATTCAAAAACATTCTCTGACAGCTGTTTTTTGTTTGTTTTTTGGAGGTGGGGTTGGGGTTTAGGTTTTGAAAAATAGAGTGAAGGAAATACTTATTACCACAAACCTGTCTTGTAATCTGTATTTTAACAAAGATACATCTTGTCATGAAGTTATGACCATAATTTTAAAACTAATTGTAAATTTATTTCATTTTCTTCAATTCAGAATTCAAAGAAGCTTTCAGCTTGTTTGATAAAGACGGAGATGGTACCATCACAACGAAAGAGTTGGGAACAGTAATGAGGTCTCTAGGCCAAAACCCAACAGAAGCTGAACTGCAGGACATGATCAACGAGGTTGATGCAGATGGTAATTGAAACTTTGCAAAGCATCATTTTTGTGAATGGAAAGAATTTCAAAGATTTATTACTGAAAAGCTTGTGAAATATTTGTCAAGTGATAAGCAGGTGGTGAACAGCCTCGTAGGTAATTTATCTATGACTGAAGTCACTAAAATTATTCAGTTTATCATCATGTAGCAGTGTTCTGCCGCATTACCTCTTAATGATGATACAAAACCCCCTAAATTTTGTAAAATTCAGGACTTGTATCCTCAGTTTTAAGGACTCCCCTTTTCGAATAGTTTCAAAATACAAGGGGGAACACTGATAAAATCAGCTGAAATATGTTAATTGATTTCCAAGAAAGAGATTTAGTGTTGATGTCTGATGTCCAATCATATCAAATTTAGTTTCAAAGCAAAAGAAATGATCCCAAATCCTTGAGGAAGATAATGGCCATGCTATTTAAGAGAAAGGAAAATCGCACAACACCACCACAATAATTTGAATAATGGTCAAAGTCCGTTTCAAACGGGACACATGGTGAAAATTAAGCTTGTAGCTGTGTAAACCGTGACTGTTCTGACTTTGGCCTTTGTTGATGATGGAATATCGTTTAGATAATTTCCTTTGTGAAAATATTGACCAGAGCCAACAAAATTCTTGCGTGTTTACCCTTTGATATTTGTCAACTAACTTTAGAATTTGTAAACTTTTGAAGGATTAGAAGAAATTTGGTACATTCTTCAGAAATTTAGCACAAATCCAACTGAATTTTCTGAGGAAAGGGTCAAGAAGAAATGAAGTATAAAGCAGCATGCTAAAGCAAGTTTTCTATACCAGGAATTCACAATACTTTCCTCATGACCTATCATTGTTGGACATTACATGATTTTGGAACTTTGTATCGACAACAAATTTGTATAAGAAAAACATCAAATAGTTTAAGAAGCAGTACATCCTTTCCGAAGTGTGACTGAAAGTGTTGATGTTTACTGTAACATTATTTTAAGATCAGTGGCAGAAAATTCAAGCATTTGGTAAATTCCAGATGTGTTTTTCACCTGTTTTCCCATTTCATTTTCTACTATAGCAATTGTCAGGAGTAGAATGATACATTGACACTTTAAATTATATTGGTTGTGACTACACCATATCCATTTAGACTTGCTAAGCAAATTTGACAATCGTACACATGATTTGTTTTGAAACTAATTATGAAGATGTTGCTTGATGTTCAAATGCATGGGATTTAGAACCTGTTATGAAATACTTGACCAGAAGATCTTTTTGATACTACTTTTCTAAATCTTGAAATTGCTGTCTGAATCAATGAAAGCATCAAGTAAAATGTAAGTGATTAGAGTAAGATAAAATGAGCAAATGCAGTATCTAATCGAGGAACCTGATAATTACTTGTTTAAGTATCTGATGTTCTGTCGGTTTTTCCACTCCACATCTTTAAAATACTGAAACCTGATAGATGAAAAATTTAAACTTTGGTGATGTGTCAATTTATGTGAAACCATTTCCATATACAGGCAACGGCACGATAGACTTCCCAGAATTCCTGACCATGATGGCACGGAAAATGAAGGATACTGACAGTGAAGAAGAAATCCGTGAGGCATTCCGTGTATTTGATAAAGATGGAAATGGCTTTATCAGTGCAGCTGAATTACGACACGTTATGACAAATCTAGGAGAAAAACTAACAGATGAGGAAGTGGATGAAATGATCCGAGAGGCTGACATCGATGGTGATGGACAAGTGAATTACGAAGGTATGTCTGTATGACCAAAATTGCTTTTAACAAAAAATTATATTGTTCTATGGATGTATTACGATATAAAGAGAGGTTATTTGATATCGTCCTCCATAAAAGTGGTCCAATAGTTGTAAATATATACTCTTTCTTATAGCCTGAAACTATTGTTAAAGCCTTGTTAAATGGTGGACACTTCTGTTTTCAGTAAAACTTTTTAATGGTGTTCAAGTTATTGATTTAATCTCGTACAGTGGTTTACGGAAGTTGAGGGATGTAATCAAATAATGGAAAGACGAGTTGCTTACATTACAGCAATGTGCTCTTTCTTTTCACTGAAGGAATGATTCTGAAACAAACAAATGATGTTCTACAGCAACATATCTTCTGATAGCAGCATGCAACAATGTGTGCTTGTGAAGGCTTGTTCAGTAAATTTATGCATTTTTCTTCCAGAATTTAAGACAATGATCAATGAAAATACAAAATAGATCTGAAATCTTCCATGTTTCCATGTGGCTGCATGTATAATGAGATCCCCATCAATTTAAATTGGTGCAAACATTTGTAAGAAGTAAAATTGAGTGTACATATCACATAAACTAATATTGGGGTTAATGAATTAGTCAAGTTGTGCATAACACCTAATGATTTTAGATTTAACCTATCTAATTTGAGATATTTGTTTTAAAAATTGTGATTTTAACAACTAGAGGTAAGACTAGTGGTGGGCAACTGATTGATTTAAAAAAAAAACTACATGTATTTTGAGCCAACACATTCCACTTTTGAGTTTAGATTTCTGATATATTGAATACATTTGGTGCAACTTCATTCAATTGATACCCCATCACTAGCATTAACGTATTGAGACTCTTGGGATTTGAGCAGAAGATTGAAACTGAAAAAACTAACTAATTATTTATGTGTTGTGTAATAATGTATACTGGTTGAGTGTCTTTGATTTCATTCATAATTAACATCGGTCTTGCATTCAGTATTACTAGAAATAGACTCTTTAAAGCATTGAAGATATGTTTCTCAGAGATTTTGTTTGTTGATCCTATTTCCTGATACAGTTTTGTATATAAAAATCTATTGAAGCTAAATCATAGGGTAACAGAAAAGCAGATCGTAAATATGTTCCTAGTCAGAATACTGTTAACAATCTAGTGACAAGTCAAATTTCTCTGAAGCTGCCTTTGATCTTGATTTTCATGTATTGAAAAATGTTTTGTTTTTGTTTTGCAGAGTTTGTGACGATGATGACCTCAAAGTAATTATTGACAATGGACATAGTAGATTTTTTCATTAAATTTGTTGTCATTAAAATCACGTGGAATGTACGTTGTTGGTACACTTTTGTGACCATACTGGGGAATAAATGCAGTCCGTATGTTGCTGATGGAAGCCAGACTGGATGGCCATCTGATATAGGAACCATTCGACAGCAACGCTGTATTTCCAGGCCAAGGGATTGACAGGGATTCCTTCCAATGGAAACCATGTCCCAGTTATGATGTAGAGCTGCTATTTCGTTCTACAGATGCTACGGATTATCAGGCAGGGAGATTTATAGTTGTTAGTGTAGCTAGCTTAGGCACTTCAGATTTTTGTAAAAAAGATAAAAAAAAAGAGGGAAAAAGTTGTATGTTACTGGTGTCCATTATTGTTGACAGACGTTTCATTCATCAACATTTCTCTCATTACCTGTTGACATTTGTTGTTACATCCTGTGCATTTCTCTTCATTATACATTCTTCAGGAAAAAAAAACATTTAAGGGTGTACAAATTGGTAAATTCACTTTTCACCGTGAGATAATATCGATAAAAAGATAATCATGATTGTCTCCAAAATAAATATTATTGTAATTTTTCAGAGTTCTATTTTGTCATCCCTTCTTCAAAGTTGTTGCTAAATTCTTTTCAATCTGGGTTGGGAGCGTGTAGCTGCACAGAATTATACATGTATGTCTGGTGGATAGTATTTAAAGATGTTTATTTATATTTCAAAACTGTTTACTTTCAGGAGATATGTATATATGATATATATATATAGTTAATAAAATTGAATATATGTCAAGATCAGTTGATTTCCAAAAGTTCCTTTCTCCGTGTGTTATATATTCATATGCACTGCTTAACTGGGGAGAATGTTTTACATATTAGATGACAAGAGAGATGTATGCATTTAAATTAACTGCACAATACTGCGATCAAATTTAAAAGTTGGCACAGAAATCAGCATTGGCCATGTTTTAGTTTGAATGGCTGGAATTTATCAACTGAGCTATTAGTGTTACAACTAAATCAAGATTTTATTCAAAAGTTATATCTATTACATCTCTTTGATGGCTTGTCCTGACAGCCTGACATTTCCTCTAAAATATATGGTATGCAAGTATTCTTTATGGGATAGTTCTGCAGGGATCAGGTTTCCCATCACTAGTTGATAAGATAGCAATGTTGAATTGGATCTCATTTCGCTTTAATGATTGATCTGTAGCAGGTATTAATTATTATCATGGCAACCGATACATGGTGTAAACAACGAGCATAGTCCAGTGTTTTACTGCTGTAAACCTCGAGCATAGTCTAGTGTTGTACTGCTGTAAACCTCCAGCATAGTCTAGTGTTGTATTGCTGTAAACCTCCAGCATAGTCTAGTGTTGTATTGCTGTAAACCTCCAGCATAGTCTAGTGTTTTACTGCTGTAAACCACTAGCATAGTCCAGTGTTTTACTGCTGTAAACCTCGAGCATAGTCTAGTGTTGTACTGCTGTAAACCTCCAGCATAGTCTAGTGTTGTATTGCTGTAAACCTCCAGCATAGTCTAGTGTTTTACTGCTGTAAACCTCTAGCATAGTCTAGTGTTGTACTGCTGTAAACCTCCAGCAGTCTAGTGTTTTACTGCTGTAAACCTCTAGCATAGTCTAGTGTTGTACTGCTGTAAACCATGAACAGAGTTTAGTGTTGTACTGGGAGATACCTGAGTTGATGGTGTCCGTTTAAATATCCTAGTTACCAAGTGTTATTATTGCTACATACCACACTTTGGTGTCAATTTAGTATGAATGTTAATTTAGTACTGTCTATACCTGTGAGGTATAAAATGCAATGACAAGTATTGTACTAAATGTTTTATGCTTGCGAGAGCGGCACTTCATACTTAAGAGAGGTCAATAGATGTCCTGTTATGAAAATATACACTTCCTACACCAATATAAATTGACTACACATTTAGTTACACTGACAAATTTATGTAGGCGATCAAGCAATTGACCTACAGAACGAAAATAAGTCTGCAAATACAGCAATTAGCGAAGAGGCCTGAACGAAATGGCCGTACATTTCATCTTTTAATGAAACTATAAATTACCAGGGATGCAAAACCAAAGACTAACGATGATTGTTATTGAAGTTGAACAAAATGTAGATTTATTACCACACCTGACCTACGGGGAAGCAAGCTTGTGTTGTTGCACGACATCCATCAATAATTTCCTTTGGACATTTCGTCCAGACAGCCAAGAGGCGTAAGGTCATACTATGGGACCGTGATCATGCTGGAATCTAGCCAAGTGTTACAAGGTCGTGTATAAAACGTGTTGAATCTTCAAATGTCGAATCTACCAGGAGGCTCGGGTTGGGTCTATGGCATACTGTGCGAGAGGTTTTCGAGCTTAAGATGAATGACCATGGTCTGTATTCAAAGTATCTGGTCTTTTCGTTCATATTGCAACTACTTCAGGATGCTTAGTCCTGAAGTCTTACTTTGGTTTCTGACCTCAAAAAGCATTGAATCTGGTCCTTGTATGCCGAACAATTCAGGTTTTCTTGTCGCACTCTGGGCATAAATTACGGGCGAATGTACTTGAAATCATTCCAGTATTTGGATCTAAAGTTCAACGGTGATTATTGAAGTGAATTTTGTGTGTAACTGATAGATTTCTTTCAAAACTGACGGATCAGCAGTGGATTTTTGTAGGGAAAGTCTGAAACGCCATTTTTATGTAAATTGTCTTTTTTCAACTCATTGAAAATTTGAATTGGGGTATGAAAAGACCTCGTTAAGAAGACGCGTTTATTTACTAGATCTGTATGGAACCAAGCGTCGTGACATGGAGAGTTCGTAGCTTTCTGCCAACATTGGTCGAATTTCAAGGTTACGGATAAACTCTCTTTGAATTACATGTATTATTGAATACTATTTAATTGCAACATCTGATCGGGTTTGGATCTAGATTGGATAACGGTTACCTGTTTTGTCTAAATGAATGGTCTTGATCAACATTAAAAGTTCACAAAAGTCGAATAAGTTCATGTGTTAAAACGACCTCTTTCTACAAACCAAGTGTCCCTTAATTTTCGGGAGGTATTTGCAACATACACTAGTATTCTGTCAAGTTCTATGGTGTTCGAACTCTTCCAACAATGTAACTACTTACACTTGTAAGCTGCAGAACAAGTGAGTAATATTAGCCCGTTGAACCTTTTCTTTCGCCAACGTGTTTGAAACCGAGCACTAGGTGATGGTCGTTATTAATTGCTTCAATACTCCAACATGGGTTCACAAGATGGAATTTTTTTGCACAACGATCCATTTTTTTGAAAGATATCATTACAGCCCACTGTACTTCCCTCGAATAGCCCAATAAAAATACATTTGTTAATCCGACTGTTTCAAATGAACATTTATCGTGCTGCGACAGTTTTCAAAGACTTGCAGCAGTCGCCCATAGGTCAAATATTACGGCTTGTTTTTCATCTAAACGCATAATGAATAAAATCTTATGACTAAACCGAACTACTTGGAACAAAACGGAGGAAACAACGTAAACATTTGATGTAGCTTTGCTCAAAGTTAACTACCATTAACAGTCGGAGGCACTCGATCTGATCAGAACTTGCATCCAGACGGTATTAGACGAATTGAACCCTTGGTTTCGTGTCTCGGGATCAAACCGTCTTATGAAGAGTATGGTCAAAGGGAGATAATCGGATTTCATAGCCAGTGGAGTTTTGAGTTATGTCCGCTATGTACATACGGAGGCAGTTCACAAGCAGAAAGTAAAAGACCTCCGATTACTCATGGCGATTGGTCATGTGGTCATGACAATATTCCCTTTCTGATTTGAAATATCTATTCTCAGTTATGCGACAAATATTTTACAACAATGCTTGTAATTGTAGCCGTTGAACGAAATACACTCGTGAAGGTTTTACACAGACCTACATATTTATTATCTTTCTTTCAGTCGTAGTCAGTATTACAAACAGTAGGTTTAATACAGGTATACATAATCGTTCTTCCGCATCAATGCATATCTACTTTTTTTTAAATGATAACATGGGTAGCTCATGAACACCTGTTTAAATTTGGTGTCCATCAATGTGGTATCGGCGAAACCAAGTGTACGACCAGAACTGGTACACTGATGTTATCAGTTCTTCTGGTGTCCATGAAATATTTGAATTTTTCAATCTAAATAATTGAATATCTCAAATTTCATTTTTAAATATTCCTGTACTGCACAACGATAACATTTTTCGTGGTTCCTTTTTATAAATTGTAGTGGACGAGATCTTAACAACTCAATCGTTTTTAGAGAAAAGAAAAGAAAGAGAAAACAGCATACCATTTCTTGTCGTACACTTAGTTTGCAAATTAAAAAGGAAATTCGTAGGTTTCCATTAACATACCACGAAGATAACTTGATACATTAGTATATTGATACTCAAGTAATATTATGTGCTTGTGTATATTTGTGTATAATTTTCTGTTTGCAATACTGACTGAAAGTGTCATATTGTATTATTTACCATTAAAGGAAAAAAAGAGTCAAAAACACGTATTTCGTTCAGCAGCTAGAATTACAACCAATACATTGTAGAGAACTATTTATTAATAGCCTGAATGGGAAGAACAGATATTCTACATCCAAAACGAAACATTGTGATGGCCAAATAATTTGAAGGAAACAATTTACTCACCATTTACCTCGGAAGCGGACTGATATGAAAATCTGAAATTCTGTAGAAAGAATTCATATCCAACATGGTCTTGTAAGATATCTCAGTATTCTTTTTAAAACCGTTTGCGACATTCAAGAAAGGATTTCAACAGGGGAAGAAACTTTGTTCATCTCTCCAAGAACCTTTATGTCTGGTGTTGCGCACGTTCTCTTTTTAAAAGCAAATATCCGTCTGAATTGCAAGTTGAGATGAAAAAAATTTTACATTTTTTCCCTCTGAAACTTCATACGTGTTTCCGGTTTCTCGGCCGTAAAGAAAAAATACACTGAAATCGCCATATTAATGGTTTTCCTGATGGTCTGTAATTTTTTTTTAATGTTTTTTTTTTCAAATCTCAGCACTGAGTCGGTCTCATGTACGTTTGTGACACCGGAGCCAGAAGCTTATTGGGACGCCTATCATTTACTGCATATATCACAGAACGATTTCAAAGATGGCGGTCACCAGACCATCAAAATTAACTGGGATGTTAGTCGAGTTTTGAATGTATGTATATATTTGTGGAGTTGTCATCTTATATCAAATATATATCTCGAGTTTGATTCTGCTTATCCGTATTACTTTATGTCGGAAAAAAAACTAGAGAAAACACTGGTGTTACCAAAGACTGACATATCTTCAAGTAGGCCTGTGTTATTAACATGTGGCGTTTCTATTTTAATATGTTGTTGTGTATTTTTAAATCGTCTTTTTCACATTAATTTACTTTACATTCTGTCAAATTAAAATGCCAGATGGGTATCATGTTTTTACAATTTATCATTGGATCCGAATCTTAAATTCTCGCCTATATTTTAATACAAATGAAAATGCTGTAGGCTTCGTGCTATTGTGTTTATTGCTATGAATACAATATACTCGGCCCTGACATGACTCTCTAATGCAATTTTATATGTATCCCTGCAGTAGATTTTTGAGAAAATCAAATTTGTCTGAACGGAAAATTGAGTTTAAGAATATTTTCGGGACAGCATTCCCAACAATTTCCTTCTTTGGTGTTAACATGAATTTTCGTTTATTTATTAACAAAATTACTCCGCTGTGTTATTCTG